TCCAAGTAATGTGTGCTGCATGAATTAATCCAAGTGTTTTCTCTTGTTAATCTAACTTTTGTTAAGCGTTCCAGCTGAAAACCTAAGATGGGTAGCAGTGACGTTTTGCCTCCCCTACAGAGGCAAACTACACAATTCTGAAGGAGGGAGGGAAAATGGTCCAGCAGAGATGCTGGATGCAGTCCCCGAGTTCAAATCCTGCCTCCCCCACCTGCTGACTGAGTGACTTGGAACAAGTAACCTATGTTTCATGTTTCTCTTTTCTTTCTCCCGAATGGGGTTGGTGTGAGGATCACAAATTAACTTTCATCGAGTGCTTAGAACAGTGTCTGGCACATGGCGAGCCCTATTCTTGGAAATGACTTACCAGGTATCTTGGAGAACATCCATTTTCATGCATGGAGAACTCATTCTTTACAAATGGCTGCACTGAATTTACTAAGTGACTGTATCCAGAATGTACTTGACCATCTGGGTGAATGGACATTTAAAATTCATTTGGAAATGTCTTATATTACAAAGACTGATCCAAAGCCATTCATTCATTCATGTGTGCATGCATGTCTCCCTCCCAGAATGCACCACACTCTTTTGAGCTAACCAGCCTTTGTGCCTTCTGTCCCTCATCCCAGAACGTTCTCCACCTACTCTCTGACCACTTGGTTGGTATCTGCAACATCCAGTTTTCGGCTCCAAAGTTCCCTCCTTGGAGAAGGTTCCCTGGCCCCTGACATGGGGCCCGTGAGAAGCTCCCAGGGTTGGTCTCTCCCCTACCATCCTTGCTGTCCTTTCGTTACCACCCTTCTCTACAGACTCTACATGGGGTGGGACATTGGACAAACCTGGTGGCTCACCATGAACCCCGGGGTCTGGCACCAAGAAGGTGCTCACCAACCCTTGTTGGCTACATGGGCTACAATTTCTTTCACTTGTTTAACTTTTTAAAAATTTTTATTTATTTTTTAAAAAGATTTTATTTTATTATTTTTTTTAAAGATTTTTATTTATTTATTTGACAGACAGAGATCACAAGTAGGCAGAGAGGCAGGCAGAGAGAGAGGGCGAAGCAGGCTCCCCGCTGAGCAGAGAGCCCGATGCGGGGCTCGATCCCAGGACCCTGAGATCACGACCTGAGCCGAAGGCAGAGGCTTTAACCCACTGAGCCACCCAGGCGCCCAAAAAGATTTTATTTTTTAAAAGATTTTTTTTTTTTAAGGATTTTATTTGTTTATTTGACAGAGACCGACATAAAAGAGAGAGGGAACACAAGCAGGGGGAGCGGGAGAGGGAGAAGTAGGCTTCCTGGCAAGCAGGGAGCCCGATGCGGAGCTCCATTCCAGGACCCTGGGATCATGACCTGAGCCGAAGGCAGACGCTCAAGGACTGAGCCACCCGGGCACCTCTCTCTCACTTGTTTTCATATTCTAAATCTTTCAGAGACCTGGATTTTACAAAGTGCACTTTCTTGTACTCCAGATCTCAGCTGCAAACAGAGAGCTCAAGACAGATAGCAGTTAGCAAGCTCAGTTGTCTACCTCTTGCCCTGACCAAGTAACACCAGACGCTCGAGTGTGAGCCTCTATGGATTACTTCACTTCATTCACTGTCTTCCTTTAGAAATGAGGGTATTAAGGCTCAGAGAGGGGGAGCAGCTGGTCCCAGGACACACAGTCAGTTAAGGGGTGGGGTGAAATTTAAATTCAGGTCCAGCTCAGGGCCCTGGGAAAATTGTCTCTTGGTTACTTCTACGTGAGCCTTTGGGGCTTCAAGGACTTGGTTTGGATAATTGTGAGGCCTCTGTGAGAGCTCTTGTCCCCAGAGAACCTCCCCCACCTCAGCCCCGCAACTATAGATCTCTGTCATCTGGCTGGAGAGCGGAGAGTGTTTGGAGTTCAAAGTCTTTTGAAATCTGGCCACCCCTGGGGATTTGGGCACCTGTCTGGTGTGCCTGGAGGGGAAGCGGTCTCATCTTCTTGGGACCCACGATCACTGATAAGCCGCCTGGTCAAAGCCTTCTGGGTCTGATTGGGACCTTGACTTTCAGGTTCTTGGCTGAAAACCAAGCGGGAAAGGGCAAACCCTGGGCACAGCAAGAGACAGTGCAAAGGTCACTCAAGCTGACCAGCCACCTTATCAGTCTGAAATCTTCCGATAAGCCCTATCACCTGTGGGGAGTTAGTTGTCCCAAATCTGCCCTGGAGGCTGGAGCGTGGTTTTCAAAATCAACAGTACTGGATGATCTGGGGACACAGGAACTCAGAGGTCTGGGAAACTGTTACTGAAAACTCAGGGCACTGGGCTAAGAGCATTCAGTGTGTTAATTCCTTTAATTCTGCAGACAAACCACTTTACAAATGGGAAAACTGCAGAGCAGAGAGAGGGGAGTTGAGGAGGAAGGGCTTGGACCCCAGGTTCTGGGGTCCATTTCTGGTTTCATCAGTTTGCTCTCATCTCACAAGTCTGATGGGGGACTTACTCTTGTCTCTCAGTGAGGGAGCCAATGCCAGGGACAGCATCTGGTCCCTTACCAGTTGCTGTCCCTGACAATGGCTCCCTCTCAGAGCCTAGAGGTCTCCCAGATCTGCTTGCCCACACCCTCATACATCCTTTGGGTTTGTCTCTTAAGGAAGGGATATCTTCTTGCCTCTTTCTCAAAGAACCAACCCTTGATCATCTTTCATAGTCCATAGTGCCCTCTTCTGAGAAGCCCTCCCTGATTTCGCCCTGGCCCAGTCACCTCTCCCGCCTCTGTCCTTGGGCCTTTTTCACAGCAATAGTTTGGTGGTCAAGGGCTGTGGCTTTGGTCAGGCAGCTGGGATTCAAATCTTGGTTCTGCCTTTTTCTCAGTGTGGGACTTCAGGTTAGTCCCCTTTCCATGCCAAGACTCAGTGTCTTTCTCCATTAAACGAGCATAGTACCTCTGGTTGCTGTCAGCCTGTGGGGGGTAAGGTACATACAGGGCCTACACAAAGTATTGCATGCCACTGTTAGCATCAGTCATAGCTGAAGACCTGGTCTTGACATCGAAGGCCTCAGGTGCTCAAGACAGAGGGTAACTGGCCCTTAATAAGCGTCCTTGTCCAGCTCAGTCAGGGCCAGGAAAGGCCTGCAGGGCATTCCCTTCACACCCTGCTCCCCCTCCCTAATACACCGGGTTTTTAGCTCCACCTTCTCAGTGCCTTTGCTGGAAGCAACAGGTGCCCTTTGGGATGATGACCCCCTGTGGCTGAATGAGAACCTGTTTTGGGGAGAAGGCAGGGCCTGCAGTTATGGTAGCACAACCACATGGGGCATGTGCTGGGCATGTGCTGGGCAGGGCGGTCGTCACCCTTGAGCTGAGAGAGGGAGGTCTTCTCTCTTTCGCAGGTTCATCCAACCAGTTATTGGTGGAGGACCTGCCGAGTCAGGCACTGTGCCGGGGGTTCAGGGTACCAGAGTGAAGACACAAAAGCCCTGTCTTCATGGAGCTTATCATCTAGTGGAGGGATGAAGGAAACAGACACCGAGAATATGTAACACACCAGAGGGAGGTCAGAGGAGAAGGGAAATAAAGGACAAAGGGATATGAGTGACAGGCAGGGGACAGAGCTCTCCAGAACTCAATGAGCAGTTTCCAGGGGTAAAGCGGGGGGCACACCTGAGGGCTTTAAAGGAAGTGATGGGTGTGGTCCCTGTTTGTGACGAGACTGTCGGGGTAAGGGCAGAAGCAGGGATCAGCGAGGTCAGTGCGGTGGTCGCCAGAAGAGACATGGAAGCTGGGCTGAGAGACCACAGGGGAGGGACCAGTGGCTTGATCTGCGATGCACGTGCCTGGGAGGGAGAAGTCCTGAAGCAGTGCCCCCCCGAACGTGCTGGTGGCTAGGGCGGAGGGTGCAAAGCAGCAAACCCACCTTTCCACACCAGCTGCTTCCCCCCCGTGAGCTCCAAGTCAGCTTTAAGGGGTTCCCGGCAGGCATGGGAAGGGGCGCTGCGGCCCTGGAGGGCACTTTGGCAATGCCAGCCGAAGCCCTAGAGCTATGCTCCACTGCCACCCCACATGCTTGCTTCTTCCTGTGGCCACCTCCTGAGGAAGCGACCACATAGACCCCAGACCGTATCTACAGGGCTTGGCACGGTATAGTTTGCAAGACCAAACAAACAAACAAAAATACACGTGTGGCCTGGGAGAAAACAGTTTAAACTGAACTTGGTGAGGCATCATCACCATCACAGTTAACTTGTGTTGTTCACTCAGTGACATATCGTTCCATCAGAGAAGGTCCCATGTTTTCCAATATATTACGCCCACGCGATGCCAGGAGTGTCCCTTACCAACCAACCAATTCTGGGGATGACTCAAAATCCTCCTCCCAGATGAACTGAATGTTTGGTTGGGAACAACTGCCCTGAATTCAGAAGCCCCAGAACCAGCGACTGTAGTTTTTTCTTAAAAAACCTGTGGTGGACTTTTCCATCTGAGCCACCCAGAGCAGAAAGCTGGGGCTGAAAACATCCTTGCCTGGGCTGGATCCAGACCAGTGTGAGCTCTGGCTCGGTGGCTGGCAATCCCTCTGACCTTGGGCTAGACACTCGCTCTGTCTGAACTGCCGTGGCTGACAACAGTCAGACCTGCTGCCTTACCTACTTCCCCAGGCGAGGTGGGAATGTGAAGAGCCCTTTTTAAGTTCTTCCAGATGATGCGGGTTCTAAGTGGTGTTTTTATGATCTCTCTGGTACGTACTAATTAATGCAGAATGAACGTAAGCAGAGTGTATGCAAACAGGGCCAGGGGTTGGGGGATGGAGTGTACACAGACCCAGGGCACAGAGGTTAAGGGCGCAAGCTCTGGAGGCAGGCAGACAGCACCTCATCACTTACCAGCCATGACCTGGGCTTTAGGGTTTGCATTGCAGTAGCTACTGTTATTATACTCCTTCAGAGCAACCCATTAAAAAGTACAAAACTCTGCTGTCCTCGTTCTTGTTTTTAATGGTCAAGGTGAAAACAATTTACAAAGTTTTTCCAGACCTGCATTTCGTTTCCGTGGTCACCTCTGCCTGCCAGACGTGCCGAGGACCTTGCTGCCCTGGCAGGCTCCTGCCAGTTTGGGATCAGAAATACCAAGCCACATCCCCGTCTCAGGATGGGTACTGGGGGAAACCCCAAGCCCTTCCCTAGCTCTGGGGTTGGGAAGCCGTATTCCTGTCTTGCCGCAGGGGTGAAGCAGGAAAGAGCAAGTGTGTGGTGAGCAGTGTCTGGGAAGGGGACTGAGGCACATTATGATTCAAAACCAGGAGACTCTGAGTCAGTGCTGATTCAGTCTGTGGTTCAGCTATTAGGGTGGTGCAAGGACTTCCACCTGAGACCCCTGTGACCCTCCTCTGCCAAACTTGCACAGGAAGCACACTGCTGGGAGGAGGCCTTTATTAGGGGGAGCTCGTGCTTGTGCTGTGACAGTCAGAGGGCGGCAGGGCAGAGAACTGCGCACAGGACCTGCACACTAGAGCTGGGGACGCTGCACTAGCCCTCGAAATGGACTCAGCAGGAGCCTCTTGCAAATGCTCACACAGTGGAAGGGGCTCGTGGCACAGGAAAGGCCTCCCTTCGTCACCATCTGATTTGCCCTGCGCTGTGAGTGGAGAGCGCAGGGACAGTCGGATTCCCTTCCTCTCCTAGGCCGAGAGCTCTACTCTGCACTCACTTGGGTTGGCAGGAGCTGCTTCCCAATGAGAAAACACCCTATCTTGTCTCCCAGGTACAGATCTATGCACACGGAGTAAATAAGGCAATGGCAGAACGGCTGAGAAAATCAGGGTGCGAGTAGCCCAGACAGGGGAGGAAAGGACTGGGGCAGGTGGAGGGCAACAAAATCCCAACTGTCCCAGGTCCAGGGAGCTCGAATTTCCCAAGATTTGAGTGGAAAGAGCACAGGGAAGTATTTATTCACACCTGAAGGGCTCGTGGGCATCTAGATCTAACCTCACACTTCAGGCACTCCTGCTGCTGCCCAGCTTGATCCAGTCAAGAGGTTTGTTCTCGGGAGCAAGTGGCTACAAAGCCTCTTTCTTCAAGTGCCGGACTCCCTTCCCAACAAAGGGGAACCCTCCACTAGTCATCTCAGGGACGGTGGGTGGATGCTAGCGGATGCAGTTGTGGGCCACAAGCCATTTTCAAGCAGCAATCATGGAAGGGAGGCTCCTCCCCACACACCCTGGAAATTAATGTGATTTTAAAGCAATCAAAGGCGGCTTCAGTGGGAGAGGTTCCGTACAACATGCTGGTGAAGGAATATCTTCAATTTTTTTGGTTATTTTTATTTTTTTCTTTAAAGTCCATTGATCGTTCACAAAAACCCAGGAAATGCAACTAAGGAGAAAACAAATGTCCAACCGAGATCTAATAACCCAGAGCTACGGAAGAGACGTGGCACTGGACTGCTGGGTGTGTGGGAGGGGGGGTGGGAGGGGTGGTCCCCGCGGGGCAGCTGGCCGTGGAGGACGCAGGAGGGAGATGAGGCTGCCAGCCAGGCAGGCGGCTATGTTAACCGCTGCACGATGACGGCGTTGAGGAGGTTGGCTTCCTTCAGGGTCTGGCTCTCATCAGCCAGCTCTTTGTTCGGGAAGGTAGTCATGAGGACAAAGCTGGTGGCAGCCATGGCCGGCCGGGCGTCCACAATGAAGAGTCGGATATCGCTGATCCTGGTGGAGCGGGGGTGAGTGGGGAGGTGGGTGAGCAGGGCCCTTCTCTGCTGTCCACAACCCCCGGCCATCTTTCTCCACAGGGCAGCCAAAACACTCATTTGGAAGCATATCAGATCATGTCACTCCCTTGCTTAAAACCTTCACGGCTGCTCCCCGTTTCTTGGGATAAACACCGACCAACTTACTGTGATCCCTGCCTACTTTGATACCACCCTCCTTCCCTTCATTCTCTATCTTCCTCCTCCTAGATTTTCAACATGCCCGGCTTCCAGCCCACATTCGGGTCCCTCCTCCTAGAGGCTCCGCTTCCTGACCCACCTCCTGTAATCCTAATTGCACTCGTGTCACAACTTTGCCCACATGAGACCCCTGTCAGCACGAACGGACTGTCAAGCCATTCCCTGGGCCCCACATGTGCTTTTGGTTTAGTCGGTCTATGGCTAATGAAATTCAGATAGGACTATTCCAGAAAAAGGAGTTGCCAAATACCTATAATACTAGTAACAGTCCTTCTCTGCTAATCTCTTCAATCTTTCTGTGCCTCAGTTTCCCCATCTTTAAAATGGGGATGGCACAGTTTGCTTTAATCCAGCCCAGATGATCTGAAACAGTAGAGCAGGTATTCTAGTATTCTCAAAGGGTGTATCTAGCAGAGACTTTGACAGCCCAGTGGTTTTCAGAGATCCCCTGGAGGTGGGTGGGTAGAGAAAGCCAATTGGAGGGGATGATGGCCCTGTGCCCTCCCCTCCCCCCATCAACCACAGTAGTTTTTATTCTTCTGTACTTGGGCTTTACCATGAAATCTGTGAACAAATGCTGTGGGTGCTAAAAAGACCCTGAGAATTCCAATCCCCTAATTTTACAGGTGAGGAGTGAGACCCACAGCAGGGAAAAAGCAGTTACTGGCCACACTTAATGCAAGAGCAGGGACTAGAACCAAAGGCTTTTGACCTGCAGACCTTCCCATCCCACTATCGCCTCTGGGGTGGCATGGAGTGCCTGCTGGTGTTCAGGGGGCCCTCCCAAGATAAGCAAGGCCAGACGGCGCAAGGCACCTGTGGCTGTGGTTGAACTTCTGCACCAGCCTCCCGCCGTCGGCGAGCCGTATTTGGATGTTTGTGGTGGGCTGTGACTCGTCGATTGAGACGGAAGAGCTGGCTTTGGCTTCGTTTTCTGCCTGTTGGGCCGGAGAGCTGGTATTCAACACCTGGGGGGCCGTGCTGAGGAAAGAGGAGCATGTCAGGCCGCACATAGAAACAAGGCCCCTGGAAGAAGCAAGCCCGCCTCAGAGTTGGCCTGAGCACTCGTTGTATCCGGGACTAGGCTTGCTGCTGCCACCACAGGGAGCGACGGAGACAAGTCTGACCTCATGGAACCTACCTACAGGCCCAGCAGGATGCGCTCAAGCCCTGAGTCGCTGCTATCTTCCTCACTCCTGAGTAACTGGGGCAAGTGACTCACCCCCTTCTTCCTTGGTGTCCTTAAAGCAGTACGCAAGACAGCCCACAGCAGGACCAGACCGGGCTGAGTTTAAGCCTCAACAAGAGAGGGCAATCTGCAGTAGAGGGGGCCTGACACAGCCTGGCAGGTGACTGCTGGGATGTAGGGACCAGTCCAGACTCCTTCTCTGTCACAGAATTTTCTGGCCTGCATTCCCTAGTACAACCTTACTCGTGTGCACATTTATTCTCCTGTGTCAACTATCAGAAGGGGGCAGAGATTTCCCACAGGCCAACCAAGTACCCCATACCACAGGGATTAGTTACACATTACAAACAGGACGTGGTATCTGCTGTAGTGTTTAGAGCTCAGATCTTAGATCAGATGGACTGGGGTCTGAATTCACCTATTAGCTATGTGGTGCTGGGCAAGTTACTCAAACTCCCTTAGTTTCAACAAGGGTAGTAGTTACTCAAACTCCCTTAGTTTCAACAAGGGTAGTAACGAGGATCTTGAACAAGGGTTAAGGCTATGTGTCTTACTCCGTTTTTGTTAGGGATAAAGGGGACAATTACATACAGCACAGACAGGTACAAAATGACATATACAATTCTCGGGGTGCCTGAGTGGCTCAGTCAGTTCAGTGTCCTAATTCCTGATTTCTGCTCAGGTCATGATCTCAGGGTTGTGGGACTGAGCCCCACACTGGGCTCCGTGCTCAGTGTGGAGTCTGCTTGTCCCTCTCCCTCTGTTCCGCTCTGCTAGTATGCACGTTCACTCTCAAACAAAATCTTAAAAACAAAAGAAAACACCTCCCAATTCTTGACAACTGTTGGGAGGTTTCACTTCTCTTCTGTAAACACTTCTGTAAACACCTGTGCATCTCATTTCCCAGCCTTTCTCTTAGCAGACACCCTAGCCCAGACCCATGCAGAGAAAAGTCCATGAGATGTCCGCTTGCTTGCTTTCCTAAGGCTCTAATGACATCAGTTTTTAAACCTCTCCTTTCGCCCTGGATCTTTATAAGCTTAAAACAGTACCCGTAGCAAATCTAACAGAAAGTACTTTCCCAAGTGTGTTTTCTGAGATCCAGTCCCTCCATCACCCAGGAAGGTTATAGAAATGCCACAAAACAAACTGGCAGCATCGGAAGCCACTTGCATATTAAACATCTTGAGAGACTGTGCAGTTAAGGCAAGCTTACTTGACCACCACATGCTTTGCATGTGGGACTCAAATGTGAGCCAGGGCATACAGAGAAACCACAACACCCCAGACTTCAAGAGATGCTCACGAAGTTCAACATTACCCCTGTAAATGCCTAAGACTGACTCGGTTTTGTTTGGGAATTCCATGGGCATTAGGCCAACTGTCTAATTAGACTGTAGGTGGCCTGTCCCTCAACTGTTCATGTAACACTTCCAAGGACAGAACAGGTACTCAGTGAAGCTACTGCCTGCCAGAAAGGGAACTCTCACATCTTCAGTCAGGCCTACAACGAGAGAAGCTATTCCAAGAGAGCCCAGAGCATCCATACGGGCAAGGGTGGGGAACGCAGGGAAATGGGAATGGCGTTCACTTTGTGCACGTGCTGTCTTTGTGGGGGGTTTGATAGCCACAGCCTCATGACTCATCACAACTGTCCTCTGAGACGGTATGGTCTCCATTTCATGGGTGGGAAAACAGAACTGCATGCTGTAGGGCAGTTTTTCAACTTTTAAAAAACTTACGTAACGAACAAGCTTTCTCTCCCTACATTCTGTGTGTTCCTACCAGCCAGGACTTGGTCAAGCTTCACATTCTATGGTTTACTTTAAGAAACAAATACCTACATTAAAATTGCTTTCTCAAACCTGTCCCCTGCTCCCAGAGAATCTGATACACCTCTCACTCATGAGCTAGGGGACCCTCAGCAATTAGTGAACATCTGGGCTTCTCCATTTCCTTTTCTGTAAAAGGGGAATACTATCCCTATGCCACCTCCATACCCCTTAGGGCAGGCAGTCCACTACATGGCAGCCGTTCCCATGAAGGAGAGTCAGCGTGATGCTGAAGAAACAGCACAGGACCGGCCATCAGCAAGCTGGGCCGAGGCGGAGTATGTCATGCACAGCAGTTCTTTTAATCCTCAGTGGTGTATGAGGTCGGAATTCATCATTACTTTTTAGGTGAGGAAACTGAGGCACAATGGGATTAAGCAATGTACACCAGGTCCCAGGGTTATTTTGAGGTGAAGCTAGGACACAAGCCAAGCTACCTGGCTCTTGTCCTGTGCTCTAACACCTGCCATACTCTCCTACCAAGCCTTGGAGTCAGGCAGACCTAGACCTGGACTTATGGAACACTGTCCCAAGACAGTTTGCTCATCAGTAACATGGGAGTTAAATGAAATTTCTGGTTGAGATAACAGCTAAAAATAATGCACTGTATCCAGCATAGACTAGGAACACAAACAAAGACCTATGTCTACGTAAGAACATCTCAGATGCAATACAGCATGGGAGGTAAGAGCAGAGACTGGAGGGAACCCATCTCTGCACTAACCAGCAGTGTGACCTTGGGTGTAACCTGACCTCTGCAAGGCTCAGAGTCTTCATCTGTAGCCTAGGGATTGAAACAGAATTAAAGGTGGTAACACATATGAAATGCTTACTCCAGTGCTTTGCTAACAGCAGAAAAACACTCTAAAAGCTGATTACTACCATTCCTCAAGGTCCTGGCCCACTTATATTTGTCTACATTCTGGACCCAAATCAGCTGGAGATGCTACTGCCTGGCCATGGGCTGTAACTGAAGGTCACCTAAGGGGCACTCCCAACCTACACAGCCCTCAAGGAGGGTAAGGACTGGAGTAGGAGGAACCTCCACACCACATCTTACCGTTCTTATTTGTAGCAAGACACTCAAAAAGTAGTAGGTGCAAATAGCTCTAGTTGTTTACGAGAGCCACATGCATTGGTTCAAGGGAATGAAGCCTTGGGTCTGGTGTTTCTGGAGAACTGCTGGCACTTGAGCCATATCTCGCAAGGAGTGGCTGGGTCATCTGAGGCAGAGAAGGCACTTCACCCAGGGACGGGAATGGTCAGATCAGACATCCGGAAGTTTCTTTACTATCTCCCTGCAAATACCATACAACTCACAGGGCAATAGTGCCTCACCCAGATCGAGAGCCTGAATCACCCAACTGCTCATTTCCTTTGTAGTCAGGAATTAACTGGACACTAAGGTGCTTTGCTGTCACAATTATAAGCGCTGACAACTTTGCCGTCTCTTTACAAAATGACCACTGCAGAAAGAATGGTGAGCAGCTGAAACCCAATCCCGGTAGCAGCAAACCCACACCCTCCCAGGGCGTTCTTGGTGTTTTCTATTCATAATCAAATAGAGGCAGTCTTTCCTGGACCTTCAGATTAGTTCTCATCCAAACAAACAGACGTAAAACCCAAAACAATGAAGTTTAATACAACTTTAAGAGTTTTCTCAAGTTTTTGAACTGAGAACAAGTTATTCATTCAGATAACTGGAGAAAAAACCCAGGACTGACTGAATTTTTTTTTAATTTGACAGAGAGAGATCACAAGTAGGCAGAGAGGCAGGCAGAGAGAGAGAGAGAGAGAGAGAGAGAGAGAGAGGAGGAAGCAGGCTCCCTGTGAAGCAGAGAGCCTGACGCGGGACTCGATCCTAGGACCCTGAGATCAAGACCTGAGCTGAGGGCAGAGGCTCAACCCACTGAGCCACCCAGGCGCCCAGACTGACTGATTTTTTAGGCAAACCTGAGAACATTTTCTTACTTTTGGCTCTTAATCATTTTAGTTGACAAGATGACAATGTAAAATGATGCAAAATTTATGGGAAAAACTAGAAAAAGCTGTCCATCCGGTTTAGACTGAAAAGCTAAAACCTTACTTAGCTTACAAAACCTCATTTAGCTGTATAAAACCTGTCTTTTGCTCATTTTTCATAGAAAGCCAAAATGAAATTAAATGAAAGTGGCACTGGCAAAGAATATTTATTTAGACAAAATCAAGCTCTGTCAAACACCTGATTATCAAAATCTGTCTCAACTTGTTGGATTCATCCTCCACACTAATAAAATTATTTATTCCCCTCTTGCTAAAAGAGACATTTTAATTTTGGGGGGCACCTGGGTGGCTTAGTAATCTGCATTCAGCTCAGGTCATTACCTCAGAGTCCTGGGATTGAGCCCCACATCAGGCTCTCTGCTCAGCAGGGAGTCTGCTTCTCCCTTTGACCCTCACCCTGCTCATGCTCTCTCTCTCTCCTTCAAGTAAATAAAATCTTAAAAAAAATTTCTAAAAATTTTTTGAGATGTGGAGTCTTGCACAAATAATATAGACTTTCCAGTGACAGCACTTCCCATCAATATCATGACGCCAAACAAGCCCAACTGTACGGTTTTCTGGGTCCTTCCTTACAATAGCTGGTGGGCAAAAATGGATACATCCTTTCTGGAGAACAATTTGACACCATCTTAAAAATATGAAGACCTTGTGAGCCAGCAATTTTACTTCCAGCCCAAGATTAGAGGATATACAAAGATTTAATTAGAGATATCCATTGCAATGTGGTTCTTAATACTGGCAACTGCCTAAATGGTTCACAGCGGGGACTGGTTAAACTATAGCACATCCTTAATATCAAAAGTTATGTTAGTATTAGAAATAAGATTGTAGAAATACATTTACTGGTGTAGGTAGCCATATTAGTTTCATTAAGCAAAACAACAAGTGATAGAACAGCATTCCCAATTTACACACATACACACCCACACATATAGGACTAGAATGATACTAACTGGATATACCTGGGTATTAGATTGTTTTTATTCTTGATCTGTATTTTCTATTATTTCTTAAAAGATAAATATATTTTATTTTAATAATTAAAGAAGAATTATCTAGCGCTCTACAAAGGTTACCATAGCTGGCAGGGAAGCCACAGACAGGACCAATCCGAGGACAGCGGTCTTGGGACTAACCCACAGGCCCAATGTGGTGGACGAAATGAGAGCAGGGTAGACTTCCTATTTTGGTCTTGGGAGATTAGCCCATTGGTCTCTAATGTCCTGAGCTATCACCTTAGCTCCTGATAAGGCATAATGGCCAACAGGGAGGTAGGGAGTCCAGGAGGGCCCAGCTGAAGCTCAAAGGGCACAGCCACTGGCAGACCACAGTCCGATCCCTACAGATGGTGATGAGGTGAGCATGGGCAGTGCCTAGCTCAAGAGCTGTCAGGTCTAGATCAGAGAGGGTGCTCACTGTACAGGTGTGGGAAGAAATGCCAGTCAGAAGGCCAGGGTTCCAATCCTGGTTCCACCACATACCAGTCATGTCTCCAAGGATAACCCTTAGAGTCCAAGAATCTCAGCACTCCTTCTGTAAAATAATGCTCTAACATCAGCAGGGAGGCTCACTATTCCAAGTGCCTCTTCTGGGCACAGCTCTCTCTGAAGAACACTGACCAAGTGACTCCATGGACAGAGCTGAATGGGCCTCTGAGGGAAGGCAGCCCGAGTATGGGTTGGCCAAGGTCTGGTGGGAGAACTTTACCTATCAAAGGCAACAGTGATTTCGACCAATCAGATCCTATCAGGGGTCTGAATGCAAGATGGAGGCAGTGGCAGAGGACACAAGGCTGAAAAAGTCACAGGAAGTGACAGTGAGTATCAGGCAGGGCCAAAGGAGAGATAAGGGCCACCACAATGGTGGAGCAGCCACCTGCACAGGGCAATAATGTCCCTGAGCTTCCTTGGATCCTGAACAAAGCTGCTGTAATCTTGGCTGGGTGGGAAAGTCCAGGATTTCTCATCCCTCCAAACCCCCATTTCCGGTGACCCAAGAAAACGTGTGTCTGTTTCAGCCAAAAGCCATGAAGGAGGTTACTACTGCTGCAAACAGGATAGATTACTGAATCAAAGCAGCAACGTACTGCCCTTCCTGCTTACTGGCTGCTCACTGTGGGGCAGCGCTCTGGGTTCCTCAGTCGCTAAGGAGGTAAGGACTCTCATCAGTCCCATCTCATACTTGGGCAAACTGAGATTATACAGTCGAAGGTCATATGGCTAGAAAGTGAAGAAGAGATTTTTAAACTCAGGTCTTTTAATACCAAAGCCCATGGTCTCCACACTCTTCCTCCCATACAAATGAAATGTGCAATGGTCTTAACGGTGAAGAGCTACATGTCAAGTGAGTGAGATGCAAGGTCTGCAGGGGCGGGGAGAGCGACCGGCACATCCCGCTTCTGCCTGTGCTGCTCTTACCTGCCCAGTTTCTGACCCTCTCCAGTGAAGGCTTTGAAGGCTCCCTTGGGCTTCACAAAATCCTCATCCCGATGGTCTTCCATGTCCAAATTCACCTGCCCACCGTGAGCTAACCTCCGCAGCTCTGCTGGCACCTCCCTGCAGGAGAAAAGGCAATGCTGGGTCCACAGGGAGCAGCATGGGAATGGCAGTGATGGGTGCAAAGGGAGGAGAAACATCCTAGTTCCAAATGTGAAAGTCGCTGGGTCCCCACAGGGAGCAGCTACTTCAGTGGCTATTGTCTGCCTCCCACGTGTCTCTCGCTTGCTCAAAGTCACAACTGAGACCTCTATCTTATTTGGTCACTTGGTTGTGTCCCAGGCCCAGAAGGGAAAAACAGACACTCAAGGTTTTAGATCTGTAAATCTGTATTTTAACCATGTTAAATCTGCTTAAAATTTTTTTCACTGCTTGGGGCACCTGGGTAGCTCAGTGAGCTGAGAGTCCAACTCTTGATTTTGGACTCATGATCTCAGGGTCCTGAGAATGAACCCTTCATTGGGCTCTGCACTGAGTATGAACCTGCTTGAGGTTCTCTCTCCCTCTGCCCCTCCCCATGCTCACATATGCGCACACGTGCGTTCTCTCAAAATAAATAAAATTTTTAAAATATGGGGTGGGGGAGGGCTGCCGGGGTGGCCCAGCCAGTTAAGCATCAACTCTTGGCTACAGCTTGGGTCGTGATCTCAGGGTCATGGGATCGAGCCCCACATCAGGCTTCGTGCTCAGCGCAGTCTGCCTGAGATTCTCTCTGTCTCACTGTCCCTCCCCAATGCACTGCCCCACTCTAAAATAAATAAATAAATAAATAAATAAATAAATCTTTTTACTTCTGAAATAATAAACATTTCGATCAGCCCCTTCTTTTCCATCTCCCATTCCACTCACTGACATGGAACCCAGAGGAGGGCTTCTCTTCTCACCCTCTGCGGATAGACTCCAAAAACTGGGCATTGGATGGGTCTTGGTAGCTTCTGAGTTCACCATTGTCCAGGCTGAACCCACTCTTCCAGAGCTTCAATACTACATGAACCTGTGACAAAAGAAGGTAAGCAGTCCATACACCATCAGGAAACTGACAAGCATACTAATGTGACCCTGCAAATTAGCAGGATCTTACTATTTTCCTGTGTCATTATCAAAACATAGACACGCCACACACATGCATGCATTAGAAAATCCAATCAACCACCAAGTATTAACCTAAAAGAAGGTGATATGGCAACAGATTAAGAGCATGGACTTTGATTTAAGCAGATCTGGGTCTGCATCTCGATTTTGCACTCACTAGCTAAGTGCTTCTGAGCAAGTGACTAAGTCGAAGCTGTGGCTTATCCGTAGGGTTGCCAGTGTGCTTGGCCTGTAGCTCGTGCTCAACTCAACTGCCATGGCAAATTTACTTATGGGACTATTTTGCAGTTATTACAAATGCTATCTCTGTTAATTCCCCATACATATTCACAGTAAAGGGTCAAGGCTACAAACCAACATATTAGCAGCTGCTGCCTCAGGTGCATACGGTTTTTATTTTCCTCTTGCTTAACTTTATTTTGAAATAAAACCCAAAAATGATTAAAAACAAATACATTATAGAAACTAATGGTCACAAGGCCAAACATCTGTTTACGGCACAATATTAAATTCATAAACCTCAAAATTACTGATATAGTAGGAGATGCTTATTGGAGAGGGGACCCTAAACACAGAAGAGGACTGAACAGTAGTAAGGAAAATATTTTCAAAGTTGTGTTCTAGGCCTCCTTGGGTGGACTGAAGCCGAAGTTCTTTAGCCATGTCCATACCACCAGAAAACCCTAGAATCATCCCTCTGCCCAAGGTTCACAGAATGCTCAGGAAACTCCTTCATTTATCCATCTCCTCTGCTCACCCCTTCTCACGAGTGCCCCTGCCCGTCAGATAATCCTCTCCATTCAAGGCCACAGTAACGGCACTGCCTCTTCCCTTTCAGAGGCTGTTGGTACAAATAACATGTGACCAACTGCCTCTGAAAAACGGCAGAACAGTCTATGAGCTTCCCAAAGAATGTAAATGCACTCACATCCTGGCCGGAATGCCGCCTCCTTTCTCCTGCCACGTAGGCAGACTCTTCCTCCGGTGCTGCCCCCAGGCGATAGCCACCCCCTGCAAATGGCTACAGAACACAAGTTCATAAACATTTGAGGAGAGGGGCAATGGTGATGGGTCACTCAGATACAATGACATACCTCAAGCTTCTTACCTACTAGGTGCACTTGCTCTGGTACTGAACTCAGGGCCACGGGGCCAGGCAGTATGGTAGATGAATGAAGTGACCAGGATTGGGGGGGCGGGCAGAGGCACTGCTTGGCTAAAGGGAAGAGCTGCTACTAAGCTCTAGTTAATTATGGTCATGCAGGAATCTGGGTGCAAGATAATACTGAAGACTTTCTGACTTTTCCAAAGATGACAGAAATCTAGAATTTATGTAACACAGGTGCTACTAATTTAATTAAAACAAAAAAGGTAAAACACTGAGTAAATCAAGTTGGCCAAATAAAACAGTATATAGGACCTGTTCTAGCCCACAGGCCGAGATTTGAAAACTGCCTCAAATCTTGATTTCATGTTAAAAGGTGAGAGAAACTACACTGCTCTTGTACATGTAAGAGCAAGTGAGCAGTGAAAGACAAAACAAAACAAATTCAGTCACTACTGGAGTGAGAAAGGGCTCCCCCCAGCCCCCAAAACCAGAGGCCTATGGCCACAGACAACAACCCTTATGCTCACTTTTGGTTTACTGGTTTCTCCAGGGCTCTTGGTCACTCGCTCCACAGCTACAGCTCCATGTTCCTTGGCACCTTTAAAGAGATCATCCACCAGCTCGTTGGGACTTTTCTTCCTGGGAGGGCCGACAATCTGCTGTCCACTTCTCTCTGAGCCCCCAGCATAAAACCTGCATAGAAAATACATGTCTAACACTAAACATACTTGGAAAACATGAATAGAGTAGGTGTCAGGCTCTGGGCTAGGTGCTAGGCACACTGAATTAAAGGGTGCAATGTCCATCTTTAAGGAATTTACTGTCTAGTTGGGGAAACAGGTTAAGTAGGCAGGCAGGCATAATGCAGTGTGATCAGCAATGCAGGTCAGTAAGGGGTACTCTGGAGCACTGAGCTGGGGAGGATAATCACGGCTTCCTAGAATATCTTCTGGGCTGAGTCCTGAGGATGAGGATACATTTTATCAGGTGAAGAAACCAGGGAAGGGCATTCCAGGCATGCATGACAACATGCCAGGTCCAAAAATAGTCCCAACTGGGAATCATCCATCCGGTGGCTAGCACCTCTCTAGGAGACAGCAGCTATGGTCACAGGCAGAAGCAGCTACCACTAGCAGCTCTAGGTTAACAGAGGCAGCGGTGTGGTTAGCACGAGCAGCTAGGCTCCAGTGTTGGCTCTGCCACTGAGTGACCCTGGGCAAACCAGTGCATTGCCCTGTATCTCATTTTCCTTATCTCTGAAATGGGAGGGAAGGACCACATGCCCTACCTACCTGCTCCTTAAGTCAGGGCCATGAGGTTCAAATCAGCAGATGTATGCAAAAGAACAAGCACAGAGTAATGCACACATGTGAGGTGGTGTGATACAGCACCAGAGCTCACCCAAGCTTCACCTCACCTTGCTATTCTGGTGATACCCTCTGGGGCATTGAGAAGAGGGTACTGAAGAAGGTCAGGGAAAGCCAAATAAAAGCCCCAAGATACCCACACCAGGCTCTGCAATGGGCCAAACGTGGCTTGAGATGAAGCTAGCAGTTTTTAATCTGGTTCTAAAAACCAGTACTCATGTAGCCCGGCTAGCCACCTGCTTGTCGCTTCTATTCACTGCTAGGTCAACAGTGTGTCTCCCCATGGGGAGAGCTGAGAACCTATAAAATTAGTCCCAGCTTTCTATTTCCTGACATTCCCCACTGAATGCAAGGCAAGCCACAGGCCTTGACAAGGACGACAGCACCAATGTCATCAGGTCTGAAATGCTGAGGGGCTGAGGATGTAATCAGGATGTGAAATAAAGGAAGGTCATCACCTGGAGGATGTGACAGGACAGGAAAAGGAGGCAGCGGCCATTTAGAAGTTGGGCATTCACATACTTGATGGCATTGCCTTTCACTCAAGGAATGTAAAACTCTGAACCTTGAATGTATCTAAAAAGAAGGCTGTGAGGCAGTGTAAAGGTCACTATATGGATGAAAACAGAGAACAGAACACATGTAATTTCTCAGCCCGCTTCCCAAAGAGTGACCATCATGAGATTATTAAATTTCCGTAAGGGTTACTATAATGATCGTTAAGAACGTCTGACAGACCGAGGCAGGGTCCGTGGGGAACTCAAAGCTGTGAAATGAGGCTGCAGATGACGTTCTGCTCAGCGGACTGAAAAGTCTTTATAATGGAATCTCAAAGCCTTGGCTTGTGAACTAAGAGCCTGTGATCAAGTGATTAAAAATATTCATTCCCTCAACCTGAACTTTCATTTCTAGAAACTTCCCCAAGAAAATAATCTGAAATGTAACCTAAGATTAATACACAGAGAGGTTCACAACAATGATATTTACAGTGGTAAAAAACCATCAAAAACTTAAATGTTGGACAACCCGTATGATGAATTATTACTGTAGTTGTTGAAAACACTAATGAATCTCAATGGTACAGAGAAATACTGAATAAATAGCATTAATCCAACAAAAACAAGAAACAAAATTATTTGACTATCACCATGTAAAATATAATACCAAACAAAGTACATTTATATACAGAGCAAAGACTGAATAGAAATATGCCAAAACATTAACTCTAGTTACTAAAGGGTGTGTAACTGTTACATTTTCTCAGTATACTATTCCATCTTCCACAATGGACACTATTTTTATTATAGCATTCCTAATGGTTAAAAACAGACAGACAAATAGTATGTATGTGTTTGCACTGGGAGAATACACACTGATATAAGCCTTTAATTCTGTTTATAATGTGATATATTGCCTTTTCAATTAAAAAGAAAAACTGAAAACAAAACAAAACAAAACAACAACAACAAAAAAAACACCCTGGAAAGATATACACCCAAAATAACTGATACCTGGTGACCATTGGAAGACCAGGTATTATGAATAACTTTTTTCCTTCTTACTGATTTGTTTCCCTTCCCCAACACTCCTCAACAAATACATCTTATTTTAATAATTAAAAAAAAAGAAAAACCCAGAATACCCCAAAAGAAAAAAATAGTAACAGGGGAAAGGGATGACTTCTAAGCTAGAGGGTCTGGGAGACTGTTTCTGGAATATAACCCACCCAGACTAGGCCACAGTAGTAACGGCTAATGATAACTGAGCACATTATCCTTCTAGGTCCTTCTAGATGGCTTACACATTATCAAGGACATTCCAATGGACTCTGCACCCCTCAGCAAAGACTCACCTCTGGCCCTCTTCCTCCTCCTCCTCCTCATCTTGGTCATGAATGAGGTCTCTGAAGGATGTCACCCTATTATCACTGGAGACACAGAAAGGAGCAAAAAGATATCGGGAAGAGTTAAAAGTAGCCCCATTATCAGCGGCTAAGGAGTTGAGGACACAGGGGTTTAATTTTTTTGGTGGGGTAGAAGAGGATCTACATGAAAGAGGGCTAACCTTTCTATCAAAATATATGTGGAATTTTTCTTCAAGGTAACACAGGACTGCAAATAAATTAGGAAGGGCTATTGTGAAATAAAATGGAGTCCATTTAAGCTCTCCTATAGGGAGGAAAGAGGAACAGTATAGGGTGTGTACTACTTTAAAAACTTATGACTGGATAGCTATTTTCATCACTTAATTCTTATTACTTTTTCTTTAACAGATTTTTACTATTTTTAGATAATCTCCATACCCAACATCGGGCTCGAACCTACAATCCTGAGATCAAGAGTCATATGCTCCACTGACCGAGTCAGTCAGGCACTCCTCTTCATTTAATTTTTAAAAACTGAACTGGACACCAGGTCTATAAAGATGCCCAGACACAGCTCTTATTCTTCAGTTGCCATAGGCTCATGGCCCCTGTTAAATACTGTGTAGTATGGGTTGTAGCAGAGGGAAGCACATGGCACATGTGGGTACAGAATGTCTTGTCCTTCACGGGGTGGGGATAGGGGAACATTGAGAAAGTTTTCCGGGAAAATGCAACATTTGAACTGTGTGCCAAAGAATGAGTGGACTGCCAGTCAGGTAGAGAAAGGGTGGGAGGCTGGTGGGTAAGGGAGCAGCAGGGCACAGCAGGAAAGGGGTGTACACACAAACACAAAGTAACACTTTGCAGGAAGGGCAAGCTATCAACAAGTGAAAATGAAATGAGTATGTGGCTGAGGATATCTGTGCTTCTGCTGCAGGTCAGTCAAGAACAAGTCTTTATTGGCGTTTAGGAAGAAAGCAGAGCTGTGTGTGGGGCTGGAGAGGGCACAGAAGAGTCACCTCTGACATGAAGAGTCACCTTCCTCCTCTGACACTGTTTTAAACTGTCACTTTTTTTCTAGTTTAGATTATCTTCAAGGAATTCAGAAATCATGAGACACATTTTATAAAATGTATTTCTTAGGGGAAAAAGTAAGTTCTCTACAATATGGGGGTGGGGAGAAGAGGATAATATAGGTTTACAGGGGCTAGACTGAGAAGGCTCAAGGAATTGTTTTCTACAGAGAAAGCTGCAGTTCAATCTTAAAGATTTATATCAAGGAGACAATCAGAGGATGGAACAGGCTTTGAAGTGCCATCAACTAGAAAGGAGAGAACAAAGACCAATTAATGTAGCAAATGCACTGCCTGCTTGAGTTAGCAGAGAGCAATGACCTGGGCATTCCTGGATGTCTATATGACACAGTTCAAAAGGATCCAAGCGACAGATGTGTACTCTGGCCCTGAAAGGCTAATTTCACTCATTCATCTTCCCAGGGGGAGTTTTCCACAGATGTTCAGCCTTGCATCCATGGGAGAAAAGCCCTCTCTCTGTTGTTAAATACCACGTGTACATGTGCTTGAGCAAACCACTTGTTCGGGCTGCAGATTTGAGTCTTTCTCCAGAAGTTCTCCCATCCAGACTCTGACACTATCTGACACAGACTCTGGTGTCCATATACCTGGTTCTAATCCGGAGTGAGCCCACCCAGGGATCTGGGGCATGCTAATGAAGTTCTCAAAGTCTTTGTGTTCTCAGGTGCCACTGGGACCAATCACAGCACCAAGCCCTCGGGCTTCCGTGAGCTGTCGGAGCACTGATGCCTGGTGCAGCACATTACAAGTGCTTCTCAAAGTGCTAGTCCTCAGATCAAGAGCATCAGCAGTATCTGCGAGACTGAGAAATGCCAGTCCCCAGGCCTGCCTTACAGTCCCTGAGTCAGACACTCTGGGAGGAATGCCCAGCGCCCTGCACTTGAGAAGCTCTCCAAGTAATTCTGACACATGGTCAGATCTGAGAGCTTGCTCTGGGGTAGTGCTCTGAGATTACCTTATGGCACGGATGACCAGGGGACATCACCAATTTTAGAACAATTTGTCCTTTGTCCTCCACAAAGTGGCAAAATGTCTCAGAAATTTCCATTTTTTCAGCATCGAAACTCTATCTCCCAGGTACCCCGGCACCCTGAAGTGCACAAAAGTCCTTTGTCAGATCCATTTTTCATAGTGATGGAAATGTTCCTGTGCTGTCCAGTATGGAAGTCATAGTCACACGTGCCTACTGAGTTTCTGACATGTGCTTAGGATGAATGGGGCACCTGGGTGGCTCAGTGGGTTAAAGCCTCTGCCTTCGGCTCGGGTCGTGATCTCAGGGTCCTGGGATCGAGCCCTGCATTGGGCTCTCTGCTCAGCGGGGAGCCTGCTTCCCTTCCTCTCTCTCTGCCTGCCTCTGTGCCTGCTTGTGATCTCTGTCAAATGAATAAATAAAATCTTTAAAAAAAAAAAAATTTACTCTCCCCCAACTTCCCCATTCCCCTTCCTCCTCCTTATTAAAAAAAATTTTTTTTAAATTTATTTAATTTTTAATTAATTTTAATTTATTTTTTTAAAATTTTTACTATTTAACTAATTTTAAATTTAATTTAATTTAAACTAATTTGAACAGCCACATGAGGCTATAGGCTCCTAAACTGGATAGTACAGTTTTAGAGAATCAGAAAACGGCAGTCCCTGACATCCTAAGAAAGTATAGTTAAGCTGGATGAAAGAAGAAAAGGAAGAAACTCACCGCTACCTCCTGCTCTACCCTGTGCTAGGTACAGAGTGGGAGGTGCTGGACAGGGCGGGTAGCACGTGGCAGAAGCAGCTCTTTCTATACACAGACTTGGGCTTGAATCTGCCGTAACAGCAGCTGTGAGTCCCTCAATCTTTCTAAGACTCAGCACCCTACCTACTTCCCAAGTTGTTGAGGCATAACAACCTAGGTAAGAGTATCTGGCAGAACCAGGCAGATGATGGGTGCTCCTGAAATCTTAGCCCTCCCACTTCCAGGAATTTACAATTTACTGAGGGAGAACACGTGAAGTTAAGTATCAGAAGAGTTCAAGACGACTCACAAGAGATGTCACCAAGTAGTATGTGGACACAGGTCAAGAAGCAAACGAATTATAGGTGACTAGATTTCTGAGTAACAAGACCATGGCATGCTGCCTATGGGGTGGGGACAACACACTCAAAAGAGAAGGTAGGGACTGAGCTAAACCTGGAAGGACCCATGGGAACTGGACAGAAAAGAGAGCAGGCATGGCCGGTTAGGTGAGAGGCTCAAACAAAAGCAGGAAAACCAAAAATGAGGCAAAATTGAGATATCAACGAAATCCGTTTGGTGGGACTAAAGATCTGAGAGACAAGGAAAAGGGGTAAGATTAGGATGGCTGGTTCAGGGCCAGCTCTGGAGGACCCTGTATGTCCACGAAGGGAGGCAGTACATCATTCTGGCTGAGAGCTGAATGCTGGAAACAGAAACAGAGCCGCATTTAAATCCCTGTTTTACCAGCTGTGTACCATGGGAAGACACCCAGCTTCAGTATCTTCATCTGTAAAATGGGTAGAATAACAGTACCCATACATAGGGTTGTAGTGAGGACTAAAGACATGTACATGTAAAGGTTTAACCCAGGGTCTGGCACCTGGCAAGTGTTCAAAAAATGACAGCTGTAATGACTGAGGAGTTTAGACTATCTTTTAGCAATGGTTAACTTCTTTGTGTTCCAAAGACCTTGGAAAATCTGATAAAAGCTATGTATTTTCTTGCCAAAAAAGAAAACCTACACACAAAATTCTGCCCGCAACTTCAGGTCATTTATAAACCTTCTCCCATTCCAGATTCTAGAATCAATGGAGGACCTCACTAACAGAGTGCTGTTACAACACTGCTCTGCAGCTACAGTAAGGACATGAAACAGCAGTCAAGGAGAGGACAGCAGGGGCGGAGTGGGGCGCGCGGCAGCAGGCCAGGTGTCCTGCATGTGGCAGTCCAGTCCCTCAGGGTGGCAGTAGAGACAGGTTGCACACGCAACTCCTCTGAGGGGCTAGTACAAGTGTGGCCTCTCCTGAGAATGCACTCCGTCTTTTCCTTCCAGGCAAGGACAATGATGTAACAGACTGTGTCCTCCCTCTCCATTTTTCTTGGCTTCACCCAAGCTGAGTACCAGGTCTGAGGCTTACCCAAAGCAACAAAGCAAGGCCTTTAGGCCTGCACATGTGTTCAGTCCCTGTTGGCCTTAACACTAAACTCTATCTCCTCGATTCTTTTACTTACAGGTCTATTTTTTTACTATGTATTCGTTGTGGAAAGAGACAGGGGACACACAGAAAAAGAATGGGGATGATGAAAACCAATGCTGATAACAATAAAAGGAGAATGGCTAACATGTGCTGAGTTCTACACGCTTTGTAAGTTATAGTCTTTTAATCTTTCATGTTATAGGCACTGCCCATTTACCACGTGAGGAAAACCGAGGCACTGAGATGTTCAGTAAACATCCAAGGACACAGAGCTCCCAAGTAGCAGAGCTGGGATTTGAATGTAGGCAGTTGGGCTCGTAGGCCTATGCTCCAATAAACCACTGCCTTGATAGGGCTTTAAGGCTACTAGCAGAGAGAAGCGCAAACTTGTGACTGATATCAGGCTACATTTCAACTCCCCCCGCCCCCTCATGTCTGACACGCCAATATCCCCACAGTAACCGGGGGTACCTATTTTTTTTTTTTTTTTTTTACCGGGGGTACCTATTAAAGACTCACCCAGGAAATCAGATGGAACATCTCCCTAACAACCATGTTCCGGTAGTAACAACCAGATGAGCCATCACCCATACCTCGTAGGTCAGTCCCTAATTAATAATTAAAAGATCAACTGCCAACTACCTCTTTTCTCTGGACACGGAAGACAGGGAAAGAAGTTAGGAAGGAACAAAATCTGGGGTTAGTGCTCCTTCTTCAAAGGGTGGAAATGTAATTTAAAGCTTGGATGCCCTTAGGGAGAAACATAATTTACACTCCACTGGCAAAGAAACACTCTATCTGTATTCTGAAGTTGATTTAAAAACCAAACAATTTTTTCTGATGAAAACATAAACCAGAGGGTAGAAAACAAATCAGGCTAGAGCAGAGGGGAGTTGTAGTTCAGACACCTTTGTAGGAAGAGGCCCTGCCTGTCTCCTGGAGGACCAGTAGTGTCTCACTCCGCAGATCACAGCAGTGACCTGCCATGGGAACCTTAGGTGGCTGTGACAGGGGATGTAAATTGGATCATAAAGGTTAACTCTGTTTCATTTAATCAATCTGGGGAAGAGTGGGTTACACAGGTTTATTTTCTCTAAGACTATACAGAGTATAAGACTATACAGGCATCCTAAAATATCAAAAGAGCCTTTCTAAAGTCATCTAGTCCAATCTTTTACACCTATAGCCCCCAAAAAGGAAGTCCTTTGGTTTCTACTTAAAAACTTCTAGAGACGGAGAGATCACTCCTCACATTCATAAATAAAAGACCCTTAAACATCTTAAAAGCAGGTTCTGTGGTTCCCCCTAGGACTGGGCCGTAAACCACAGTCAGGTAAGAGTCTCTACCGCAGTGTGCTGTGCCTCTCTACAGGAGAGGAACATGTCATGTGAGGAACTAGTATCCACCAGTTAATCTAACTTTCTTACTCCAACCCACTGGTCTGTATCCTCACGATTAATCCTCCATTAAGTCAGGAAACTGGTCTTCCTCACTGCTGGTAGCACACCCAAGTAGCAATAATTGAAGTTGGCCCTTACCTGGGGGCTGTGCCTCTGGACACTGAACTGGGGGTTGCCTGCGAAATGGTCACAATGTCTTCGTCCCCTCCATCCTCATAAAAGCTCGCTAGGGCGATCTGCAACGGAGACGTAGTAACTTGGGATTCTTAAACAGGCCTTCATTTAACACATATTTCCTTTGAGTGCAAAAAAGCAAAGTCACGAAGATACGGCTCACACTTAGAAGGTGGTCTCTATCTGGGGACCACAGAAAATGAGATAAAAAGATAGCAAGCATCTCTCTTCTTATCACCTGAAACAAATTCCATCCACTAAGGGAAATAATAGAAGGCAAGAAGGCAGGCTAGGACGGAGAAACTCCTCATTCTCATTTTACTAGGAAATGTGATCCAGTAAAAGCAGTGTACATTTATTGAGCGTTTGTTTATGTGCCACGTTGTTCTGAATATAACTCTACATGTGTTAACTCATTTAATCCTCGAAGAACCATATGTAATTGGTGTTATTGTCTCATTCTATAGCTGATACAGAAACACTGAGAAATTAAGAAAATTCCCGAAGTTAAGCAGTTGGTAAGGACTAGAGCCACGTTCCATCCCAGGCAGTCTGCTCAGGCCCTTACTCTCAGCTTTTATGAGACAGCCAGGAGTCTGGAACAGGGAGACTGGTACAAATTGCTTTGTTTACTTTATCTCTAAGGCCCAGTTTCCTCATCTATGCAACGCAGACACCTGTCCCACCAACCCTGTGCAATGAATGAGAGGACCCAATAACATTCCTGCACAGTCATGCCTTAGCTCTCTACATACAGCAGGTATACGGGAGTCTTTTGGCCATTTGTGTTTGGTTGTTCTCTCACTGACTTAACAGTTAGGTATTTACGAATCACTTTAAACAAGTAAGAAAGAGCACTGAGGTCTACGGAGATGAAAAAGATATGGTTCCTGTCCTCAAGACCACCAGCCTTAGAGTAGGCAATGAGCCCCTGTGGGACGTAATCAGCCAGTCAGGAGTATACCTTCATGGGATATAACCAGTCCTCTGGAGGCAGTGTGCTGTCATAGGACACGCACTGAAATTGAGGGGGGCCTACATTCCAGTCCTGGCCCTGGCAGGCACGTCATGTCACATGCACGAGCCTCAGTTTCCCTACCTGTAGTGTGAGGAGACTGGGACTGATGACCTGGCAACTGGGTAACACTGTGAGCTCCTAGGTTTTCCAGGCCGTGGCTGCATTTTGTATTTCTGCCCTGCACAGGGCTGCACGCTGTGTGTACAGGCGTGACACTATGCCTAACTCTTGCTCTGCGGAAGCAATTTAAATGGTGGAGTCAGCAGACCCACTTTAAATCCCAACCTTACTATTTACTGGCTGTGGGATCTGGGACATATCACTTGCCTTCTCACCGTCTAACTGCTCACCCATACAGCGGAGCTAGTTTTCTTTACCTCACTCTTGTTAGGATTAAACAAATCATCACCTGGAAAGTGCCTGGCACTTGGTGCTTCAGTGCTCTGGAATCAGAACTGACTTCTAAGGCTATCTTTTCCAGTCTATAGCTAGTGATGCCTTGAGCAAGTTTCTTAACCTCCCTAAACCTCAGCGGCAAATTGCAAAGATTAAATAATTTTAAAGATACGTAAAGGAGTTAGAATAGCACCTGGCTCATGGTAGGGAATCAAGAAATACTAATCACTGTCATCCACCTAAGACGCAGGCAGACCAAGACCATTTACACAATTCTTTCTCCAATTAATTACTGGGTGCCCATTATGAGCCGGGAGCTGTTCTGGGCACGGGAGATTCAACAATTTACAAAAATCCCTCCCACGTGTAGCTCCTGTTAATGCTTTAATTAACAAGTACTTAATGAATACGTAATACGTGCCAGTACACTGGACGATAAACTCCACGAGCCTCCCATTTTACAGAAGACTTAACCAGGAAAGACGAATAGGCTCCAAGGTTGCGCCACCACCCTGGAGGGAGTCTCCCCCAGGAACAGGGTAGAAGGGGGCGTGGGCCAATGTCTGGGCCGGGGTGCTCCCTCAACCCGCAGCAGGGGCGGCGTGAAGGGAAATAAACGATCACCTCCTCCCCCGCGCAGCTCCACCTCGGACCTGGTCATTCCCGCCCGCCCGGCCCTAGCCAAGCCTCGGCGCGGCCGCCACGCCCCCCGGCTCCCTCTCCACGCGGGTCGCGGCAGTGCCCAAAGTCTCGCTGGCCCCGCGAGCGGACGAGGCGGAGGGGAGACCCGAAACCCAGCAGAGGAGGGCCCGGCCGGGGCTGGCCCGCGTTTTCCCACACCCAGCCGTGGGGGCGACGCGTGGCAAGCGGCCTCAGAACCCTGAGGCCTGGGTCGGGCCGCAGCCCGGCGGGATGACTGTGCGCTTCGGTCACCGCGGGCTTGATGCGCCGGACGCCCGCCTCCCGCAGCCCCCGGCCGGCCCGACGAAGCCGGCCCCGCGCCGCTACCTGCAGGTCCCAGCCGGCCGACTCGAGGAAGAAGCGGGCCCGGTCCTCTTCGGCCCCAGTCACCGCCACGAACTCCCTCAGCGCGTCCTGTCGCTCCGCCGCCATCTTCGCTCTGTGCGCCGGCCTAACTGCTCCGGCCACCGCCGCACAGCCTCAGCCTCGCAGCCGCGTTCCGCCCGCGGGTCGACCAGACCCAGCCGAGAGGCGCCCGCCCGCAGGCCCCGCCCCATGCGGTGCCTCACGCAAAGCCCTCCGTGCGGGAAACGCCCCCTGCTCCGCGCCCTCTGGCGGCCGCGGCGCGGATCTGCAGCCTAAGGGCGGGGGTGGAAGCCGGGCGGTGGAGAGGCGGAGCTGGTCTTCCTGGCACCTGTGGACTGAAGGATCTCTGGAGGAGTCAGATACGTAATTATTCATTGACTCAGTCCTTCATTTCATTCATTTATTTATTCGTCCATTCACTTCCTTGTTCACAGATTTACTGAATGCGATCAAAGAACCTGGTGCTCTTCCAGGGATGGGGACAGGCAAAGAGCAAAACGAAATCCCTGCCCTCTTGCTCACATTCTAGGGTAGAAAATAGACCTGGAACAACAGGTCCCTCCTCTGCTCTCAACACTAACCCCCGTGGCAGACAGAATCTCCTGGCCGGCAAGACCGGTGTGAAATATGCCCGCCCCTCCATCTCATCTCCTAGGCTTCCCTAAATTCCTCTCCGCTCCCTACTTGCTGCCAAGCGTGCATTTGCATCAGAGCCTTTTGCCAGCGGCGGCAATTCCCTTTTTCTTTACCAGTGGGCAAGGTGTTCCCCGGCTTTCTTCAGGCTCCTGCTCCAAGGGCACCTTCTGAGACCCAATCCCGTCTTTTAGGTCCTCAGCTTCTTTGCCCTCTTGTCTCTTGCCATCCTGCCTGGGATTCTCTTCTCTTCCTCTTCCCTTTGTCAGCTTCTGCACATCCCCTCCCTTCAGTTTAGGTATTCCCTCTTCAAGGAGGCCTTTCTGCATCCCTGGGCTCTCCATCAGATATCCTGTGCACGCCCTGTGATGCCATGTTAAGTGTCACCCTTCCCCAAGGGCCACCATTCCCGTGACAGCAGAGGCTGTGGCTGTCTCAGGCACAATATGGCTTATCAGCACTCACTCTGGACTCAGCCTGGGGTTGAAACCCAAACATGAAGCCGATTACCTTTAGCCTCAGTATCCTGATGGGTAAATGGAGCCCCTTATAGTACTTCAGAGGGAGGTGTGAGGATCCAGTGCGAACTGTTCAGAGATATACTTGACACTTACTAAGCCCTCTGCAAATGTTAGTTGTCATTTTATTTCCTGGAACCTGCAGTCACTGGTATAAAATATTCACTTAATGATCTTTTGCTGAATTAATGAAGGAGTGAATGAATGAGACCAAGTATCTGAGCAGCCAGATGAGAAATTCAAGGTCACAATCTGAGGACAAGGATACAGGGCAGGTACCTGGCCCCCTGATGAGTGGTGAGCTGACTCTGGGATATGATCCAATTTCAATAAATAAAACTTGTCCTTTTCCATAAAACAGGTGCCTTCGTGGTGGGGAGAAATGGCCTGAGTCCGCCGACCCATAAACATGCCTTCCCCAAGTGAGGTGGCTGCAGAGACACTGCCCTCAGTATGCATTGTGGATGCAGGCTGGGCTCTCAGGGACAAGCTGGTTGGTGAGGGCGGGCCTCTGCCATCTCTGGGCCTCAGGGCCTGCTTTTAAACAAGGAGAGGGGATGGAAGCTGGGCCAGTCCAGTGTTCACAGCCTCCTCAGATCCACATCCCCTTTTTCATAAAAAACACTTCTATCACCCCTTTGCTACCTTAAATGGAATTCAGATATAATAAAACTGACCTACACATGTTGAAAAAATCAGCATTGTGCCCTAACTGGAGAAATAATTTGGAGTAAAATGATCTGTATTTCAATTCTCAGGGATAAATATAATGCAAGACAAAATGAACAATTTAGGGGCTTGCCTCTATGTACAGGGCTGTTTTTTGTTTGTTTGTTTGTTTAAGTACATTCCACACCGAGTGTGGAGCCTAACATGGGACTTGAACTCACAAACCCTGAGATCAATACCTGAGCTGAGATGAAGAATGGGACACCTGTACAGGCGCCCCTGTACAGGGCTGTTTGATGCATGATTAAAATATTATAAGTGTGTTGCTGTGGGTGACATAATTTTTCAAAATGGTAAGAAAAAAAAAACCTTGTTAAGCTGTGAACAACACAAAGTTCAGTCTTCCCTCTGGTGACAGTAGTTTCATTCCTGGGAAACTTGGTATATCTTTAAAACCATGCCAAAAAGTACTTTTAGTTCATACGTCAAATGAGTTAGGGTCTAAGTTCGGGTTATTAAAAGCGGGTTTTCAGCTCTGTGAGGTCCTGGAAGGACATGTGGGTGGAGGGACCTTCCTTTGCGATGCTAAGGCGTCAGAACACAACTTGGCAAACCTAGTGGAGTGGAAGAATCACGAAACCTAGATCCCCCGCCAACTCCACTTGTGGGTGTTCACCCCACGTAAATGCTGGCTCGCACATACCAGGAGACACGATGACATTGTTTCTGTGGGCGATAGTGAGAGGATGGAACAAGTCAGGTCTCCAGCATCAAGAGAATCACAAATGTGATGGATTGCTACAGGGGGGTTGCCATATGACCATGAAGATGCATGACTTAGAGTTACAGGTAATCAACCTGGAGAAATCTCAAATGTTGAGCCAAAGAACAAGGCAGGGAATGACATGTGGGATAAAGTGCCATTATATAGTACCATCTAGATGGTTTAGAAACGTGTAATATCATGCTTGACTTAGGCCTGGCACCCCGCCCCCCACTGCCCCACTCCCGGCCCAGTGACCCAGGTGCACTCCGGGCTCTGTGTTTTTTATGGGTCATAGTGGGGTATACTTGATCAGACCTGATACCCCCTCTTGCCCCATTCCAACACAGAACCCTCAAGGCTGCCATCATCAGGGTGGTGGGATACAGGAAGCCTCTGTCTATCCCTCCTCTTCCTCTTGCTCTAGGCCTTCTCTGCAGGAGCAAGTGGGGGCCCTGGAGGCCTGAGCAGAGCGATGTGAACAGACCCATCTTTCTCATTAGGAGCTGCCACAGAGGCCAAGCCTGGGCAGGTTCGATGGGGCTTTTCGGGGAAGACGGAGGAGAGGGCAAGAACCATTAGTGGGGAAGGAAGAAGAGAAAGAAGAGGAGCAGGAAAGGAGAAAACAGAAGAACAGGTGGGAAGAAGCAAATGCTCTGATTCAGAGAGACTTGGAGGACAGCCACTGATCTCCAGAGGTCCAGATCCTGAGACTCAAGCAGGATGAGCCTGTGTTGGGAGCTGTGGCTCAGGGCCCACTCCCTTCTCTGTCTTTGGTGGGTCATCTTGCCTGTGCAGGGCTCTGGCCCTTAAAGCAGGGGAGGAGCTGGACTGAGCAGCTCTGACTCCAGTTCCTCCCCCACTCTTTCAGTCTGTCAATGGCAGGTTTTCCCAAGTGCCCACCAAGGTTCCCTGAGTTACCCATGGTTTGTTTTATCTGCTAGCACCTTCTCCACCTCTTCTGGGGTCTGCTCCCACCCGCACACCCACTGGGGCTGGCACAGTTAATGTCTTACATGCACCAATGCATTTCAGCTTCAAAATGACCTAAGAAGGGAAATGATAATATCATTACCAGTTTATGGATAAGAAAACCAAGACACTTGGAGAGAACTGACCCAAGAGATGAATAGAGAACAGGAATTTGAGTAGATTCCCAAGATTGTGGATTTTATCTCTACCGTCTATACTCCCTATAGGGGTCTAACATGTGCCAAGCACCTGCTTGGTACTGATACTTCCTGTGCCATGCCAGGCATACTCCTGCCTCAGGGCCTTTGCACTTGCTGTTCATTTTGCCTATTATACTACCCCCCCCCATAGATACAAGTCTCTCTATTTACTCCATTCAAGTCTCTGCTCAAATGTCACTTTACCTCTAAGGACCCTCCTGACCTCCCTAAATAAAACGTATCTCCTCTCCCTTGCTCTGGCAAGCACCCTCCCGCCCCAGATTCTGCCTTATTATTCCTTTAGCACTCACCACCAGGTGACATGTTACTTATCTATATTTACTGGCTCATTGTCTGTCTTCCCCCAGTAGTCGGGATGCCCTGAGAGATCAGACTTTTCTCTTTAATTCTCAGCACACTGATTAGTGCCTGGCTTATTGTCCACCTTCAACTACTTTTTATGACTGAGTTTTTATGACTTTTTATGAATGGTGAAAAGTGAGGCCCCTGCCCTCAGAAAGCTCAAATTCTGGAGGAGACAACTGGCCCTCATGAAGGAAATAGACCCATGTTTATTTCAGGCAGCAGTGAATGCTGGGAAGAACACGTCTGCTGCGTGAGGGCAATGAGAGGGATAGAGATGTCATGGTGGACGGAGCCGTCTGGGAGCCCTCATGAAGGACACAGTTGAGCAGGGACACTTGGATGAGTTCAGGAATGTGGTGTGGCCAATGCCCAGGTGGGTGTCAGGGCAGAGTCAGTTTACGGGGTGGTAATGGGATATGCAATTGGGGAGGGGGTTGGTTTGCAGGGACTGGATTGTGCAAGGCCCTGCAAAGTCCAGGAGGTTTTGGGGGCAAAACAGTTCTTCCAGAGGCTTGGTTCCATGTTTCCTTCCTTGCTGTTCATTTCCTGGGGCTGCTGTGACAAACGACCACAAACCTGGTGCTTTAGAGCAGCAGAAACTTATTGTCTCATCGTTTCCCAGACAAAAAGTCTGAAATCAATATCATTGGGCAGGAGTCAAGGTGTCAGGGGGCCCTGCTCCCTCCAGAGGCTCTGTGGAGAAGATGTTCTGGCTTCTTCCAGCTTCTGGGTGCTCCTGGCTTTCTTCAATTTGTGGCCACATCACTCCCATCTCTGCCTCTGTGGTCAAGTTGCTGTCTTCTCCTCCATGTCAAATCTCCTTCCTGTCTCTTCCTTATCAGGATACTCGTGACTGCATTTTGAGCCCACCTGGATAATCCGGGACCCATTCCCATCTCAAGGTCTTTAATTCCAGCCGCAAAGTCCCTTTTTGCCATGTGAGGTCCTGGTCACAGGTTCCAGATATTACGGTGTGGATATCTTCTGGCAGCAGGCTATCATTCTGATGGCCATTCAATGTTTTAGGCAATTCTCAGGCTAAACTACTGTCCCCCTTGGCTGAGGTTTTGAGAGCTGTTTTTACTATTGTCGTCATGAAAAACAGCAAGGCTAATGCAGTTCCCCACAGAGCAGGTGCTAGTAAATGATCACGTGGAAAGCAAAAAGGGAGCTCACAAATACTGAGTGTACATGGTGCACACAGCACATATGAAGCCCACAGTAAATGAATCCAATTAGTTCTTAGACAATGCAGAGAAGTCCACATTATGATCTGTGTCTGCATTATTATCCATGAGGGTCCAAGACGTGAAGCGACTGACTAGTCACTAGGGGCACATAGTGAGGGAGTGGGGACTTCGGGATTGAGAGCCAGGCATGTCATAGTTCCCCCCGGCTTCTTGGCCTCGGCGCTACTGATGCTTTGGACCAGACAACTCTTTGTTGTGCGGGCTGCCCTGTGCATTTTAGGATGTCTAGCAACATCCCTGACCTCTACTCACTAGATGGTGATAGCCAGTTGTGACAACCCCCAAGTTGTCACAACCCCAAAACTGTGACAATCAAAAGTGTCTCTAGATATAGCCAAATGTACACTGGGGAGAAAACATCCTCTTCTTGAGCACTACTGTTCTCGCTTATACTCCCTATGGCAGGTGGTGGTACAAAGATGTGCTTTTTTAGCTGGGAATTGAACTCAGAGCAAGGAAGCAGCTGCCTCTTGCCACTGAGGTAGACATTACTGGTTATCTACTGACTTTGGTCTTTGGTTCCTTTAGTGAAAAATGACAGCTGGGCACAGGGCCGCCAGAATAAAGACTACATTTCCCAGCCCTCCTTGCAGCTATGTTGTGAGCATGTGACCACATTCCAGCCAATTAGAGGTGATGTGGTCAAGTTCCCAGCTGTGTCCTTGAAGGGGAGAGTACTACTCTCCTTCCCTGCCTTCTTCCCCAGACTTGCTGCCTGGGATGTAGACCTAGTAGCCACAAGAGGAAGGAATCCCCTATTGCCTGGCCTGCCTATGCTTGGTTATTACTAGAGAAATCAATTTTCTTCTGGCTTAAGCCACTGTGACTTAAGAGTTTTATAAAAGTTGCCAAACCTGTGTTTAACTATTATAGCCACCTAAGCCAGCCATAGTGGGGAAGGAAAGAAGACGGGAAATGGAGAGAGAAGGATGTAACTGGAGGGACCTGGGCAGTCTGGCTCTGCAAGCTCAGAGATGCTTAGGAAAACCTTCCAGAAAGTCTCGGAGTTGGATCTTGCAGCATGAGAAAATGTGGAGAGGGGAAGACGGGAGCAGCCAGAAGGGGCTCCAGAAGGGGCTGTAGCAGGAACAAGGGCCCTGAGAAGAGAGCCAGGCAAAGCCCTGAAGGACAAGGAGGGCTTGCATGGGCTGCAAAGGGAGAACGCACACCAGAAGGGAGCCCAGTCAGTGCTCAGTAGAGAACTTCTACTTCCAGGTGAGTGGAAACCAGATATGGAGATCCTGGAGTTTGGCATGAGACCAGGGGAACATCTAGAGGTTGAGATCAGAGGCAGAGAAATGGCTGGGGAGCTCTGGCCTCTCTCCTGACTCAGAGGAGCCACTCTGGGGCTGACCTCTCATCCATGGCCCACACCCCAAGGGGGGCTCTGTCCTGCTGGGCCTGGGGTCTTGATGTCTTCTTGCTGGGGCCTCCTCCGGCAGGCAGCCAGGGCCAGCAGGAGTGCAGCCAAGATCACTGTCTTCAGCTGCAGGATCAAAGTGTGAGCATAGACAGGAGGTCTGGAGGACGCAGGGGAGAGCTTAGGAAGGACCCTGGGTGAAGCCCCAATAGTCCAGACCTCAGTGTCCTCACAGGGAAATCTGGCCCAGCTGTTACAAACCACGGAGCCACATTCTCTCTACACTGAGAGAGGAGATCTAAGACCTCCCCTCCTTCTGTCCTGGATCTGAAGAGGCTTTGCCCAATATCCTACCTGTACGCTTAATCATCTTGACAGCATTCCTGACTTCCGACAGTCATAGAAAACTGTGTTCATTCATTGGTTGCTCAGCTCCTCTCCCCCAGACCTTGAGCTAAGCATTTCCTAATTGCCTAATATAATCCTTAAACTTATCTTGCAAGGTAGGACAATAATGTATTGGTACAGATAAGGAGGCAGACTTAGAGAGGGGATATGATTTGCTTAGGGACATATATGTCAGAGAAATGATGGGACCAGGTGGTCTCACTCCCAAGAATGTCAGGAACAGGGCTGAGCAATAGGGAGCATCCGGGGCTGCTACCCTAAGTCTCACCCTCAACCTCACCCCAGTCCCAAGTGCCCCTGAGTGTTAAGAGGTGATGTGACATGCATGGTTCTGGGCACTTGGCATGTGTAAATCTTATCAGATCTACATACAACCTTGTGAAGTAGGCTCTCTGATTCTTATCCTTTCTCCCCTCTAGTACGCAGAGCAGGACAAGAGCCATTTAAGGAGTGAGGCAACCTGCCCACAATCACACTGCTAGAAAGAGGCTCAACCCAGAATGCTTGTCTACAAAGCCATGTTCTCCAGTGCTGTGTTATATAGTTTCATGCTGTATCCTTGCCCTGGCTCACGGGGAGCTCACTACCTCTCAAGCAAGACTGCCCTCTGAACAGCCAGCACTGGCTGTTAGAGAGTCCTTTCTTTGACTGAGCTTCAACATGGATCTCTGGTTTCCTGGTTCTGCAGTTGAGAAGAAGTCCTGGGACTATTTTCTTGGTGGCAGATAACCCTAGAAGTCAGGGACTGCTCCCTTCCCACGGCCAAGCCATGTTTGACTGCCCTTGTCTGTGGGGACTGGTTACCTTCACAGCAGGTAGGTACATTTACCTGATAGAAACATCCTGTCTACATGCTCATTGGTGAATTCTGTCTCTTGGGGAGAAGTGCAGTTTGCTGCAAGGAAGGGAGACAGTCTCTCATTCCCATTTCTTTTCTGTCCTGCCACTTCCCGAGCTCCTATGCTATGACTTGGGGTCATCGAGATGAGTATTCCTGGGATTGGGGGCTAGAAGTCAAACCCTGCAACTATGAGGGACTATAGTTAGACCTGTGGGAGCATCTCTGGGGTAGGGACAATGTCTGATTCATTGCAGGATCTAAAACACCTAGTACAGTGCAAGGCAGTGAAGAGAAGAAGTTAAATCATTGATGGTCTATATACAAAGTTTTGTGGAGCCCAGCATGGCAAGAAATTAACTCTGCCTAGGAGAAACAGAAGGTTTCACAAAGGAGGGGCTATTTGTGCTGGGCCTTGAAGGACGAGTAGGAGTTCTCCAGAGAGAGGGAGAAAGAATTCCAGGCAGAGGAAATGGCTTGTGTAAGGTTGGAGGCTGAGAACAGCTGGCTTATTTGGGATGTGACGGAAAGTTCCCTGTGGACCACCTCCCCCTCACCCCTGATGCCTCCTAAACCACCTGTCTCACCTTTTACTCTCAGCCTGGTGCCCTGTCCAGACAGGTGTTGTCCGTTGAGTAACCTCTGAAACTTGACACAGTAGTAGCTGCCTACCTATTCAGTGGAGGCACCTTGCAGAAGAATGCTAAAATCCCTCCTGGAATCCTGGACTGCTGTCATGTTGGGGTGGAAGATACCTTCAAAGTTGTAAATGGCCTCCTGGCTCAGGCCAGCCCCCCGAAACCACCTAATGGGTTCTGGGGGACTATCTCCAAGCACTGTGCTGTTCAGGAATACAGTGTCTTTAGTGGTTGCCAATACCAACCCTGGGGCTGGATGATCCAGAGGTCTGGGTCTGGGTCCCTGGCTCCTGAAGCCAAAGAGAGGGGCCTTGCTGTATTCTGTTTCTTCCTCTGCTGTCCACTCATGACCTCCCTCATATCTTCCCTCTCTCCCCTCTTCCCTGATTTCTCAACTCAGCGACTTCCTCTGTATCCTGCCATTACTCTCAAGTAGATTCACTCAGTAGAGAAGTTCTCAGTACCTCTTATGTGCTGATGTTAAGATCTGGAAAAATGAAGCTCAGCAGGGCACACAGATACCCTGCTAGGAGGAACAGATACCCTGCTGAGAGGAAGTTCTCAGTCTGGTGGTGGAGATGGCCCAGAAAATCCCCCTGAGATTGGAAACCTAGATGACTGTAGGACCAAGAGAAGGCTCTTGTCTCAGCTTGGAAGGAGCCCAGGAAGCCCTTCAGACATGCTTGCACCAAGTTAAAATGCACCTTTTCCCCTGCCTCCAGCCACCTGCCACAGGTATTCTGCCTGTCAGCCGTCTACAGGGTAGTTCCACAAACATCCATTCTTCTAGTTCATCACCCGAATGACCTTCAGTGTAGAAATGTCACTTATTCTGCAAGTTAAGCACTTGAATTATATGGAATTGAAGTGATCGATTTAAGAACATACTCTCATTGAATGACAGACCCAGGATTTGAGTACCCAGGTCACCGCTGCTGGACTTATCATGACTGATAACGTGGGGAGTGCAGTAGATGAAATTATCAGCCCTAGTTCTTGACTGTCCTGGCGGTATGGTGCATTCCTACTCTTGTCAGGGTCTTGAGGTGGGAAGAAGGTTATATATCATGATCTCTTGACTTTGAGCTTAGCCACGTGACTTGCTTTAGCCAATGGGCTGTTAGTGGACATGATGTGATTAGAAGCCAGAAACATGCTTGGGGTATTGGGACTTGTCCTCTTTGCTCCTGCCATCTCCACGACACAGATGTACTCTGGATAGCTGTAAAAAGACATGGCCCTGGAACGAGGCACATGGGGCAGAACCCCTCCTGCTGCCTGTACACATGTGAGTGCGACACACTTATTTCATGTGCCACTGGGATTCGTGTGCACAGCATGGCTGTGAGTAAAGGGACGCAGATCAGAACCGGGTGCTTGGACCTGTAGAGCCTGCTACTCAACATTCACAAGCATGGAGGTGCCCTCCTCCGGGACCTTTTCTGATTTCTCACTCAAGTCACTACCCCCCACACAGTGGTAGCTTCCAGCATGCTTGCTGGGGACACTGTGGATATAGATGGAATAGTTACAACTAAGTGGCTCCAGTGTCTGCTGGATCACTGGTGTCACCCCAGGAAAGCAGCCATGTTTGAAGTTACAAATCTCCTGCCAGTGCTGATGGCTCACCTTGACCCATTTAAGGATGTCATTGGTGTCGGAGCCACCCACCATCCACCACAGTAGGAGTGCCTTACCTTCTGCACCAGCACAGGGCCCTTGGGCTGTAGCACCTGCTGCTCACTCCCGTTGCTCCTACAACAGAAGAAGAAAGTCTTTGTGCTGAGCAGGAAGGACCTGGACCCCTCAGAGGGGAGCTTGACCCCATCTAGGCATTAGCTGACCAGGAACAATTGATCAGGATGCTGGAGGGATGTTGTCAGGGGAGGAAAGTGCAAAAGATGGGGAGGTTGGCTGGAGAGACAGAATGGAGGTATTAGATGGAGAACATAAAAATTATAGATGGCACTTAAGTGCCCACCATGTGCCAAGCCCTACATGTATTACCATTTATTCTTCCCAATGCTCCTGTGATGTGGGCAGCCATATTACTATCCTCCCAGATGGTTAGGTAAGTTTCCCAGGATCACTACTTATGGGCTGAATGGCCAAATTCACGGTGGAGTCCTAACCCCCAGTACCTCTGAATGTGGTTGCTTTTGCAGACAGGGTCTTTAAAGAGGCAATTCAGTTAAAATGAGAGCATGAAGGTGGACCCCTAATCCTATATAACAGGTGTCCTTATAAGAAGAGGAGATGAGGACACAGATACACATAGAGGGAGGCCCGTGTGGAGGCACAGAGAGAAGATGGCAGATGGCTGCCAATCCAGCTGATACCTTCATCTAGACTCCTAGCCTCCAGAAGGAAGAGAAAATGCATTCCTGTTGTTCAAACTACCAGTCTGTGGCCCTTTGTTATGGTCACCCAAACTAACACTTCATCCAATAAGAAGGGGACAGTCTGTTTCTGGAGCTCCTGCTCTCAGCCCTCAAATATATCACACAAAATGCGTGTGCTGGGATATTCAGTGTAAACATCCTCCCTGCTTCCTGTGACTTCTTTTTTTTTTTTTTTCCAAGTGAGAATATTGTCTTATATGACATTTTCTTTTTTTGTTTGTTTGTTTTTTGTTAATTTTTTATTTCTTTTCAGTGTAACAGTATTCATTGTTTTTGTACCACACCCAGTGCTCCATGCAATCTGAGCCCTCTCTAATACCCACTACCTGGTTCCCCCAACCTCCCACCCCCTGCCCCTTCAAAACCCTCAGATTGTTTTTCAGAGTCCATAGTCTCTCATGGTTCACCTCCCCTTCCAATTTCCCTCAACTCCCTTCTCCTTTCCATCTCCCCTTGTCCTCCAAAATTTGTAATTTTTGGATTTTCTTATTTTTAAGTAATCTCTATGCCCAACATGGGCTTGAACTCACAATCCTGAGACCAAGAGTCACCTGTTCTACAAACTGAGCCACCTACGTGCCTCCCCCC